CACCAAAAAAACGCTACTCACCTGATAAACTCGCATATCATCTGCTAACAGGTTTGAAGGCTCTGCGGGGAAGCCCTCGACATTTGCCGAGCCTTGTCTGGACTATTGCAGGCCATTCTGGTGAGCGGTTCCATTGCACGCCAACCTTCATGTTATGCATTACACAGGTCTAAAAATCACACAAGCCTACAAATCCTGACTCTCACATTCGTGTACGGTTATTGACGCTTTGCACTTTCTGTTCTGGGGCGGTCCTTATGGAGACTCATCTGAGCACATCCCCGTGCACCAAATGGTCTGTGGACTACAACCTCCATGACTGTCACTTCTGAGCAGCTCTCGCATGAATCTCCACGGCCATGCGGCTTTTGAAATGAAATGAAGCCCTAACCCCTTAGCCTTGACCTAATGCACTCTCTGATGTTCTGGGCCAGGACTACGCAGCTTCCCTTGTCGAACAAGGCATTCAAAACTTGTTGAACCGCGTGGCCAACGCTGCATGAACATAGGTTCAAAAAGGGGCCAATGAAAACAACTGACCTGCAGGCGGTTTCATGCCAGTTTGGGGGCCAGTAGCCATACCCACTCAAGAATCATAATGGCAAGGATCACAATGTTGTGATAGAGTAGGGTATGCGAAAACCTTCTGCCCCAATCCCTGACTTTCCTGCCCCTTGAAGCCTCCAAGCCTCATATCTTCATCTGCATCCAGCCTACCCTAAATGCTGAGCCCCGGCACCTTCATAGGTTTAAGTTTAGGGTTAGGGTTTCGGGTACTGTGGATGAATGGATATGAACCAAGATTATGGTCCTAGTTTGCTTGTATGATTGTCGTATAGGTGCCTAAGGCAGACCTAAAATTATGTTTGCCATTATTCTGGCCCCTGGACTACTCAGCAGCATCCTTCAAGCCCTTAACAATAGAAAGCCCAACCCCAAACCCTTACAAAAACCGAAGCCCTGAAAAACACGCAACACACCCCTACATCCCCATAACCCCAAACCGTAAGCCCTAAACCCTGAAGCCTAAACCCTAAACTTTAAGCCCTACATAACCCCGTAGTAGCTTCAATTTTCTTTTCCATTATCCTTATATAACTCCAATATACTATAGTCGTTTCCATTTTCTTTTCCAGTATCCCTACAATACCCTATATGACCCTATATAGAATCCCTATTCTAGATATCCCAATAATCATATAATCCCTATAGAACCCCTATAATCCCTGTAGTTTCTATTTTCTTTTCCATTATCCCAAAATAGTAATGAAGGAATGGGATCAGCCGCGACCCACCCGTGCGATGACACCTCCGCCACGCCAACGCCATGGCTCGGAGCTGGCTAAGGCTCAGAACTATGGGGTTTAGGGTTCAGGGTCTAGGGGTTTAGGGGTCTAGGGGTTTAGGGTTTAGGGTTTTAGGGTTTAGGGTTGAGGGTTTTAGGGTTTAGGGGGTTTGGGATTTAGGGTTTAGGGTTTAGGGTTTGGGTTTGGGTTTGGGATTTAGGATTTAGGGGTTTAAGGTTTAGGATTTGGGGTTGAGGGTTTGGGGTCTTGCTTGGGGTTATTCGGGCT